ACATGTGTGTGTGTTTCAGAACATGTGTGTGTGTTTTAGAACATTTGTGTGTTTGAGAACAGGTGTGTGTGTTTCAGAACATGTGTGTGTGTGTGTGTTTCAGAACATTTTTGTGTGTTTCAGAATATGTGTGTGTGTATGTTTTAGAACATGTGTGTGTGTTTCAGAACATTTTTGTGTGTTTCCGAATATGTGTGTGTTTCAGAACATGTGTGTGTGTTTCAGAACATGTGTGTGTCTTTCATAACATGTGTGTGTGTGTTTCAGAACAATTGTGTGTTTCAAAACATGTGTGTCTGTTTCAAAACATGTGTGTGTGTTTCAGAACATGTTTGTGTGTGTTTCAGAACTTGTATGTGTGTTTCAGAACATGTGTGTGTGTGTGTGTTTAAGAACTTGAGTGTGTTTCAGAACCTGTGTGTGTGTTTCAGAACATGTGTGTGTGTATCAGAACATGTGTGTATGTGTGTGTTTTAGAACATTTGTGTGTTTCAGAACAGGTGTGAGTGTTTCAGAACATGTGTGTGTGTGTTTCAGAACAAGTGTGTGTGTGTTTCAGAACATGTGTGTGTGTGTGTGTGTTTCAGAACATGTTTGTGTGTGTTTCAGAACATGTGTGTGTGTTTCAGAACATGTTTGTGTGTTTCAGAACATGTGTGTGTGTTTCAGAACATGTGTGTCTGTGTTTCAGAACATGTCTGTGTGTGTTTCAGAACATGTTTGTGTGTGTTTCAGAACATGTGTGTGTGTGTTTCAGAACATGTATGTGTGTGTGTGTTTCCGAACATGTATGTGTGTGTGTTTCCGAACATGTATGTGTGTGTGTTTCAGAACCTGTGTGTGTGTGTGTTTCAGAACATGTATGTGTGTGTGTGTGTGTTTCCGAACATGTATGTGTGTGTGTTTCAGAACTTGTATGTGTGTGTGTGTTTCAGAACATGTGTGTGTGTATTTCAGAACATGTCTGTGTGTGTTTCAGAACATGTGTGCGTGTGTGTGTGTTTCAGCACATTTTTGTGTGTTTCAGAACATGTGTGTGTGTTTCAGAACATGTTTGTGTGTTTCAGAACATGTGTGTGTGTTTTATAACGTGTGTGTGTGTTTCAGAACGTGTGTGTGTTTCAGAACGTGTGTGTGTTTCAAGACATGAGTGTGTGTGTTTCAGAACATGTGTGTGTGTTTCAGAACATTTTTGTGTGTTTCAGAATATGTGTGTGTTTCAGAATATGTGTGTGTTTCAGAACATGTGTGTGTCTTTCATAGCATGTGTTTGTGTGTGTTTCAGAACAAGTGTTTGTTTTAGAACATGTGTGTGTGTGTTTCAGAACATGTATGTGTGTGTTTCAGAACTTGTATGTGTGTTTCAGAACATGTGTGTGTGTTTAAGAACTTGAGTGTGTTTCAGAACATGTGTGTGTTTCAGAACATGTGTGTGTGTTTCAGAATATGTGTGTGTGTTTCAGAACATGTGTGTGTGTGTTGCTGAACATGTGTGTGTGTGTTTCAGAACATGTGTGTGTGTTTCAGAACATGTGTGTGTGTGTGTGTTTTAGAACATTTGTGTGTTTCAGAACAGGTGTGAGTGTTTCAGAACATGTGTGTGTGTGTTTCAGAACAAGTGTGTGTGTGTTTCAGAACATGTGTGTGTGTGTGTTTCAGAAAATGTTTGTGTGTGTTTCAGAACATGTGTGTGTGTGTTTCAGAACATGTTTTTGTGTTTCAGAACATGTGTGTGTGTTTCAGAACATGTTTGTGTGTTTCAGAACATGTGTGTGTGTTTCAGAACATGTGTGTCTGTGTTTCAGAACATGTGTGTGTGTTTCAGAACATGTTTGTGTGTGTTTCAGAACATGTGTGTGTGTGTGTTTCAGTGTGTGTTTCAGAACATGTATGTGTGTGTGTTTCAGAACATGTATGTGTGTGTGTTTCCGAACATGTATGTGTGTGTGTTTCAGAACATGTATGTGTGTGTGTTTCAGAACATGTGTGTGTGTGTGTTTCAGAACATGTATGTGTGTGTGTGTGTGTTTCCGAACATGTATGTGTGTGTGTTTCAGAACTTGTATGTGTGTGTGTTTCAGAACATGTGTGTGTTTCAGAACATGTATGTGTGTGTTTCAGAACATGTGTGTGTTTCAGAACATGTATGTGTGTGTGTTTCAGAACATGTGTGTGTGTGTGTTTCAGAACATGTATGTGTGTGTGTGTGTGTGTTTCAGAACATGTATTTGTGTGTGTTTCCAAACATGTGTGTGTTTCAGAACATGTGTGTGTTTCAGAACATGTGTGTGTGTGTTTCAGAACATGTATGTGTGTGTGTGTGTGTGTTTGTGTTTCAGAACATCTATTTGTGTGTGTTTCCGAACATGTGTGTGTTTCAGAACATGTATGTGTGTGTGTTTCAGAACTTGTATGTGTGTGTGTTTCAGAACATGTGTGTGTGTGTGTGTTTCAGAACATGTGTGTGTGTGTTTCAGAACATGTTTTTGTGTTTCAGAAC